AGAAGAATGTGACGTTTCGGTGGGGTACGGATCAGCAGTTAGCCTTCGAGACCTTGAGGCGGAGATTGTGAGAGGATCCGATCCTTGTACTACCGGAGGGATTAGATGATTTGGTGGTGTACTGTGACGTATCGATTTCAGGGTTAGGTGTGGTATTGATGCAAAGAGGGCACGTGATAGCATATGCCTCGTGACAGTTGAAGCCGTATGAGGCAAATTACCCTACTCACGATCTGGAACTGGGGGCAGTGGTGTTTTCCATCAAGATTTGGAGGCATTACTTGTATGGAGTGTGGTGTACCATTTACACCAACCACAAGAGTCTGAAGTATTTGATGGACCAACAGAACCTAAACATGTGACATAGAAGGTGCTTGGACGTGCTAAAATACTACAATTGCGAGATTCTATACCACCCAGGGAAGGCCAACGTAGTGGCCAACGCTTTGAGCCGTAAGACGGCAGGTTCCCCGATTGGGAGTGTGTGTTTGAGGATGACGGTGATCTCTCCATTGTTGGAGATGATCAAAGAGGCTCAGGTTGAGGGAGTGAAGAAAGAGAATTGGAAGGTAGAGAGGATCCGAGGACAATATCCTTTGTTTGTTAAGGATAGTCGTGGTCTCTTGACGCAGTGTGGCCGGGTGTGGGTACCGATGACCGGGGGAATGAGACAGAAGATATTAGAGGAAGCGCATAAGTCCAAGTTCTCTATACATCCAGGAGCTACGAAAATGTATAGGGACTTGAGGCTGAGTTATTGGTGGCCCTGCATGAAGCGGGAAATTGCTTAGTTTGTGGAGCGGTGCTTGACTTGCAGGAAGGTCAAGGCCGAGCATCAGCGGCCTCATGGTAAGGCCCAGCCGCTACCCATTCCCATGTGGAAGTGGGAGGAGATCACGATGGACTTCATTACGAAGTTGCCAAGGACGGCGAGGGGTGTGGATGCCATATGGGTGATTGTGGATAGACTGAAGAAGAGTGCCCATTTCATTCCGATATCCGAAAGTATATCCGCAGAGAAGTTGGCGGATATTTACGTGCGTGAGGTGGTGGCTAGTCACGGGGTGCCTGTGTCGGTAGTTTCTGACTGCGATGTTCGGTTTACATCTAGGTTCTGGAAGAAATCCCACGAGGAGCTGGGCACTCAGCTACACTTTAGCACGTCATATCACCCCCAGACCGATGGTCAGAGCGAGAGGACGATTCAGACGCTGGAGGATATGCTACAGGCATGCGTGTTGGATTTTGGAGGGATTTGGGATACGTATCTTCCACTGGCAGAGTTTTCATACAATAACAGTTATCATGCCAGTATCGAGCGAGCCCCGTTCGAAATGTTATATGGTCGAAGGTGCAGGACCCCGGTTTGTTGGGATGAGGTTGGACACCGAGTTATGGGGAGCACTGAGGTAGTGCTCAAGACTACCGTACTGATTCAGCAAGTGTGCGACCGACTGCGAATTGCGCAGAGTCGTCAGAAAAGTTTCGCCGACCGTCGGCGTTCAGACCTAGAATTTCAGGTGGGGGATTTTGTACTATTGAAGGTGTCACCCTGGAAGGGGATCATCGGGTTTCAGAAGAGGGGCAAGCTAGGGCCCCGATATATAGGACCGTTCCGGATTATTGACCGGGTAAGTAAGGTAGCATACTGCTTGGAGTTTTCGGCAGAGCTTAGTCAGATTCACAACACATTCCATGTGTCGCAGCTTCGGAAGTGTGTCACCGACGAGGCTGCGGTTGTCTCGTTGGATGACATTCAGGTGGATGAGAGCTTGAATAACATAGAGAAGCCTGTTGCAATTCTGGATAGGAAGACCAAGGTTCTTCGGCACAAGGAAGTAAGGTTGGTAAAGGTGAAATGGTAGCATCGAAGGGGTTCCGAATGGACTTGGGAGTCGGAGGAGGAAATGCGAGGGCACTATCCGGAATTGTTCGTTTCAGCAGACTTCGAGGACGAAGTCTAGTTCAAGTGAGGAGACTTGTAACATTTATTTCGAGGATTGGCTGGAGTTTACCATTTAAGGGGAATTTTATGCATGGACTCGGCGAGTTAGGAGTCCAACTGGTCGATTAAGGTCGTGACTTCTTGGACGCGGGTCGGAACTGACTCGGCGAGTCGGAAGGCCCGACTCGGCGATTCAGAACTGTTTAGAGAAAACCCTAATTTTGGGGTTTGCCCCTATATAAACGTCATTATCCGCCCTATTAGCCTCCCTTAACACCATAGAAGAACGTTCACGACCGCAAATCCACTAGTGTGTGAAGTAAGAACAATTGGGAGCTTATCTTTGAGATTTCAGGGAGGATTCCAAGTTTGAAGAGGAAGTATCAAGGGAGAAGTGTTAGATCAAGCATCAATTTCGTGTTGGGCATCTGTCTGAGGTATTAATATGCTACCTTAAGCTTTGATTTCTTTGTGGAGGTTATGGCCAACCTTGAGGAGATGGAAGCAAACTTAGATCTGGACCTATCACAAGGATATGATTCCAGATCTGAACCTCCTCAGGTCCCAAATATCATAAAGTTGCACCTTTTATTAAACTTATTCCCTCTCCAAGCATGAAAACCTTGTTTCAAGGTTAGTCTTGGTGTTATGGCCATGTGAGGCCTTGCATGCACGTAAAGTTTGCAACTTTACGTGTTATCTACACTAGTAGAGGATAGATCTGAAGTTTGGGACCTTGAGTCCCACTAGAAAAGGCCGTAAACATAATGGACTAAGAGACTCGGCGAGTCGTGCAAGAGACTCCGTGAGTCGAGAGGGTTTCCTCGTTCACGGCCAAGGGTTCACGGCCAAGGGTTCACGGTTAAGGGTTCACGGCCAAGGGTTCACGGTCAAGAGTGTTCGATTGGGAGTTTACGGCCGTAAACATCAAGGAACTCGACGAGTCTCTCGGATGACTCGGCGAGTCAATGAGTTAAGCAGGGAACCTGATGAGTGGCTGATTGCACTCGACGAGTCAAGGTCAATATGGACTGTTGACCTTGACTACAGACCTAGACTTTGACTAGGTTTGACTCAGAGGAGCCTTAGGGGCTGAGTTAAGATTATTTACTTGTTGGTTATAGGCAGTTTGGGAGGAGCAGCGTAGGACATACCTGAATTCAGTTGCCGGTTCAGCTTTGTGATGTGTGTTTTCTCACCATACCAATGGGTCTAAGGCACCAAGGCCGGCCCATTTTACGTTAGTCGGTGTACTTGCTATGTAGAGATGTGATATGTATGTATGCATGATATGCGGTAGAGATAGCCTTTGTGGGTAATGGTAGAGATAGTCTTATGGCTAACGGTAGAGACAGCGTTTATGGATGATTGTAGAGATAGCCTTGTGGCTAACGGTAGAGATAGCTTCATAGCTAATTGACGTGTGATATGTGGTAGAGATAGCTTTTATAGCTAATGTGATATGTGGTTTGTGTAGGGTATGCTCTAGGGGACTCACTAAGCTTTCAGCTTACCATCTGTGGATTTGTTTCAGGTACATCAGAGCTCAAGGGCAAAGGCAAGGCGTGATGATGCGGCGTGCACTCCATCTCTCTTTTCTGACATGGTTCGGGGGACACTCTGATGTTTTGAAAATAATAATGTTGTAATGTTGGTGGTTTTGAAAACAATTATTGAGATTTTCATGTTTATAAAATATGATTGACTAATTAAAAACGAAAAATTTCTTTCTAAAATCTGGGTCGTTACACTTAGATTACTTAACACTTAAACCCCTCGTGTTATACGTTTATTCATATTGACCACAAAGTTGAATAAGAACGAACAACTCTCATGTTCACCCATTAAACCTTACATCATAATTATTCTTTCAATATGATCATTTGACTAGTCAAGCTAGTTATTGTAAGTTTAACCAACTTGTCACTTCTAGTCCCTATTCCAAATTTACACTTTTAATCTGAATCTCTTTAATTTAGATTTTCCTCATAATTTCCTATAAAAATTCATTTTTATTTATCAACGTCATTATTTAATTAGTTCAATTTTATATCATTTACTTAATTTATTTATTTTTTCAATTTTTTTTACAAAAATAGTCAAAAAATTTAGACCCGAAATGAATATATTACAATTTTAGCCTTGTTTGCTAGCGATTTCATTTGCAAGCTAACTTATGATATGGATTAAGCTAACTTATGATATAGATTGAACGTATTACCGTGACTTCATAACCTTTGATTTAACTTATGATACGGATTGGACGTATTTTGATTTTCTGAGTTTGGTGACTATTTTTATAATGAAAAAAGATTACATGGTTACTATTTATAAGCGTTGCAAAGTGCTACAATTGTTTATAGGACATCGAGGCTTTTACCAATTTATGCGTTAGAATGTTTCCCTCTTTCCCATAAATATACCCCTCTCGAAAGCTAACTGAATTTACCCGCCACCGTTCCTTCACCTTCTCCTTCTTGCCCCCCTTTACACACACATACGCCTCTGTAAATTCTTTCAATGGCTGCGGATTCGAGAAAAACCACTTCGGAGATGTTGATCTCAAGAAGGCCCAAGAAGAATCGGAATCGTGTTAATTCAATTTCTGGAACTGGAAATAGAGATCTGAACATTGCCGATGCTCCTGATAGAAGTCCGATCTTGGTTAAACCTAAAACAGAGCAGGCAGCTGTGGTAATGGCAGCTAGAAAAGTTCCAGTTCTGTATTACCTCACAAGGAATGGCAACCTTGAACATCCTCATCTCATCGATGTTCCTCTCTCTTCTCCCCATGGTCTCTACCTCAGAGGTACTCACCTTTTGTTTGATCGTTTAACTTTTAAGTAGCTCGAATTCGAATTTCTTCTCACTTACTTTTACTGTTTTTGTTTGCAGATGTTATGAATACAATGAATTATCACAGAGGAAGAGGAATGTCAAACATGTATTCCTGGTCATTCAAAAGGTAACTTCAGTTTGTTTACGTTCTCGTTGTTGATGATTTGTTCTAAAAATTCGTGAATCGAAATTAGGAGCTACAAAACTGGATATGTATGGCACGATTTATCGGAGGATGATCTGATTGAATCGACAAATGGTCATGGTCATGATTACGTCCTTAAAGGATCAGAGCTTCTTGAAACATTACAAAATCCGACGGACACGAATCAAACCGGCGGCGATTGCAACTCTACAACAACCGCGGCGGTGGCCATGATCAAGCGACGGAATCAATCATGGAGTTCATTCGACAATCCACAAGAGTACATGGTCGTGAAGTGCGAATCTAGCAGAGAACTCGCGGCAAAGTTCGCCGCCGATGCTGCTACACAAACGGAGGAGCAACGGAGACGCCGGAGTTTCGAACGAGAAAGGAAAGAGCACGTGACGATGACGCTGGGTAGAGAAGAAATACCATCTCCACCGCCTTCTAATTCGAGCTCCGAGGTGTCAGAGGGAGCGAGATACATCGATCCGACGGTGGACGTGCGAAGTGGAGATCTGACGGCGGAGGATCGACATGACGCTGGTGGAAGGATGAAAGCTTCTGAAGTTCTGATGCAGCTGATTACGTGTGGGGTCCATAAGTCCATTCTCGGTTAAAGATGTAAGTAAGCTCCATGAAGGGTGCATGGTCGGCGAAGCACAGGATCAATAAAAATATGCATGTAGACATGACATGTAATGTCACTATTTTGTACATCCTATCCTATATATTAATGTATTAACTAAGATGAAATCTACTCTTTTTTATGATGTAATTATTTAAAAAATAAAATTGAAGTTTTATTATGTATTTATAATCATCCCTTTAAAATTATGAAGTGAAAATCCAATCCGGTTTTTAAACCGATCCGAAACAATTTGAAAATTCGGATTTGCTTAGCTCTTAGTTAAATAACAGTCACATAAGTCACATAAGACCCGATTTTTGTTTGGAATCGGTTTGTGAAGATAAAGCGATCCGTACCACTAAGGAATTGACCACCTCTTTCTTCGTATGAATTAAAAAATACAAACCAATAATGGATGCTTTTAAAAATCAAATTTGAGATCTTTTATATTAAAATGCGTGATTAAGTATTGTCAAATTTCAAATAAAATTGCCATAAAATACTTTAGGTTAGTTGAAACAAAGGTTTTCAAAATTCTTGTAAACAATATTGGATTGACCATCCACGCAAGTTTTTTTGAATGGTTTAACTAATGAGACTGTAATTTCAGAAAAAGCACGCAAAATTTTGAATTATATAAAAACCATTATTAGTATTTATTCGGTTTAACCATCTCAGTAATTTATTTTTAAAAGTCAACAATTATTATTGAAATTAAAAAGAACAAAATAAAAAATAAAAAATAAAACAACTCCTCCAACAATATTTTTTCAATTGTTTTTGCACATTCCCAAGAAACATTTACGATGTATCTTTTCAAAACAAACTATCAATCGGTGGTTAAAAAAATCAAAATAAAATGGTTTATAAATGTAGATCGGAGAGTTATAGAATTTATACCAATAATATTACACTTTTTATATTAAATTTTAATAAAAAAAAACAAATAAAAGGTTACCAATAATTATTATACTTTTATATTAAATTTTAATCAAACTACTATATACGAATCATTAGTAATTGTTGAAACAATTAACAATCCCTGTCGAATATAATTCTTGAGGTTTACTAAAACTGATTAGTTTTTCATTTTTTTTAAAGGAGTTTCATGGTGAGGTTTTTCGGATCAGTTTCGTGCACTGACATATTACTATGAACATGAGGTTATGTCTCATGTAGTAGAGTCACTGCAAGCAAACGAACTTTCATGGCCACAATGGTTAAATCAAGGTTCTAAATAACGTAAGGCGTGACTTGGCGGCAATGTCAAGCCTCACGCTTTTCCGAGCCTTGGCGAGTCACGACGTTTGTAAGGCGTGACTTACGGCGGCAATTTTCTATATAATTAATATTTGTATATGTATTTTCAACTATTATTCATTTTTATACACATATATGAGTTAAGGCGGCGTTTTGACAAAGCTTGGCGGTAGGTGCAAGCCTTGGAGCCGTGGCGCACCATGGCGGAGCCATGACGAGCTTTTTAGAACCTTGGGTTAAATACTATCAAGATTTGAACATAGGTTTCATCACATCTTTAACATACATTATCAAGTCACCACATGATTATTTATATTGATATAATGATCTGATATGATTGTTAAAGAAAATAGAACTCAACAAGAGAACACGTAATTGAGGTTGTTTTCTTGTTGTATAAAGAAAATAGTCACGTGGTGAAATTTCAGAGCAGTACTGTTTATGAACATTTCTTCCTCCATGCAACTTATATAAAGAAAGAAGACAAGAAGTATACGTTGTAGTTTTGTGTATTTATTGACCTTGTCATTGGAAAGTGTTTTGTGTAAGTAGGAAGGTTTCAAGATAAACAACTCAAGGCTCTGTCTCTATGCAACCTGTATCCTATGGTGGCATTCATGTTCCTCGTGATCCCTAGTCTAACCCTAAAACATATCATTAAATTCACCATATGGTAATAAGTACAAGTAAATACACGCATGCCCACCTAAGAAAATAGATTCTTATTATTTTTTACACAAACATTTTTTATTATACATCACAATTTATGTATGAAATAGTTGTACTATATAATTATATAAAATATAAAATATTGTGTATAATTAAAATATATTATTTTTGGCGGTCCACTGATTTTGAAGGTCCTGTGCGAAAAATAAAAATGGACCCTATATATAATTTTTTTATATAAGAAAATTTTATTAATATTACAATAAAATTCAACATTTAGTACACTTTCGTTAATTATATTAGTATGTATATTTACAAACGAAAAAAATATTCATCTACAAATAATCAAAGAAGATAATTAATAATGGATTCCTGACATAAGTCACTTGACGGAATTATGATAGATTGGTAACAAAGTAGCAACCGTTTACAATGATATTCTCCAAATACGTAAAAATAAAATAAAATTAAAATTAAAAATAAAGTAAAATTAGACCAATGTCGTGTGGTCTCACACCTCGCACTTCCTCATGGTCGGCCCTGCTCTTCTATATATTTTATTTTTTTTTATAAATTCTCATATTATATCGTTATTAAATTTTCACCATACCATATATTGTTATTTAAAATTTCAATAAAAATGTAAAATTTCACTTTTCATTTTGTAAAAAAAAAACCTAATAAATTTATTTTTATTTTATTCAATACAAATAACAAAGAAGTTAGAATTGACCAAATTAACTTTCTTATTTTATTCGATACAAGCAAACAATGAAGTTAGGATTGAAGGTCAATTAATTTTGTATTATAAAAAAAATTATGTTTGAAAAAAAGGCTCAGAAACGAAGTTAAAAAAGGCCAATTAAATTTATATTCAAAAATCATATCATCATATCATATCATACTATATTATAAATGAATCACTTTTCTTTTCACCATATTTATTTAAAACTCCCATACATTTTTTCTTTCACCATATTCATTTGAAACTCTCATGACTTTTCATTTTCTTTCTAATAATAATTATAAGTTGGTTAATAAGGTTAAATAAATATCAAATCTAAAGTGTAATCATATATAAACTTAATTTCAATATTAAAATAATAGTTTTACTTCTACTTATATAGTTATGTTTTTTTAACTTTTAATATATTATACTTAATTTATTAATTTTAATATAGTATTGTTAGTAAACCATTATCATTTTAAAAATACAATTTCGCAACAATTTATATAAAATACTTAAATTATTAATTTAAATATAACATTACAGGGTCAACTTAAATATAAAT